TAACTTACCTGTAAATAGCTCAAAACATTTGTTATATCTTTTAAATTTATATATTACTGTAATAGCTTAGCTTATCCTTATCATATTCTGCATGTAAAATAATTTTCTGGCACACGCCCCCCGTGGAAATCAGCTTAGGTTGACGGGGTCAGCGTGGATAAATAAAGTTCTACTACTACTACTACTACTAGTATGACAAATAATGAATAAATACATAGATGGGCGGGACCATGCGTTCGGTGGGCGGAACTCAGAATGTGTAGTTTTTGGGCAGGCGGTATTTCTAGCTTCTACCGCCTGCTACGCAGGCTACCACAACCACTAATGCTTTCACAGCTAACATCATGAGATTTGGAAAAATATACCGCGGTAACAAGGTTAGGGATGGTATTAAGCATCCTTTATTCATACTGGATTATGATTACCACCATCATCATCATCATCAACATCATCATGACCATCATCATCATCATCATCATCACCACCATCATCGTCATCATCATCACCACCACCATCGTTATCACCATCATCACCACCATCATCACATGATCACCACCATCAAAGCTAACATCCAAAGAACCCACTAACACTCTTTCATAACCTGCAGGTAAAACACGCCCAGAACTGCGGAGCGGTGGGCGCCATTTTATACCACGATCCCGCCGATTATGCACCCGAAGGCCAGGACAAGGTTTACCCACAATACATTTGGCTTCCAAAGACCGGTGTCCAGAGCGGTAGCATACTTGATGGTTATGGAGATCCGTTGACCCCTGGCTTGCCATCCGTAGACGGAGTATTCAGAATACCCGAAGATAAGGCTAACCTGCCCAAAATCCCAGCCACCCCGATGTCTTATGGAGAGGCTGTTGAATTGTTAAAAATTATGGAAGGTAGCTGGAAAACATTTAAATTGCTAAAGTAAAGATTGGGAGTGCTTCTCATCTTTGCTTGCAGCTAAGAACTGGATTGCAAAAGACACACCTCAAATGACTGACACTATACAAGGCCTTTCATAACTACAACTGGGGGGAGGGAGGGGGGGTGCAAATGGCCCACATATTGTGTAACTAGGCCATTTTAGGTTTCCTCCTTCAGTAACACTGGAGCAATAAGGGACGATTCATATTTGACCTCTAGGGAGAACAGTTTAGAACTGAAAGAGCGATCTAGATGTATTTATTTATTTATTTATTTATTTATTTAGCTTTGCCAACTAGGGCAGGATCACCACAACAGCATATGCCAATTACCTAACCCACCCTGTCAACTTTCCCTGTGGGAGGAAACCGGAGTACCCGGGGAAAACTCACGGCTTTCGGCAGAGCGTTGACTTTTACTCTTTTCACATGAGGACTGGGCTCTAGTCGCATTGAGAAAGTTCTAGCTGATGCTTGAACCTGCGGCCTCAGAGGTGAAAGGCAAGTGCGCTAACCACTTGGCCACCGAAGCCCCATGTGAGTGTGTCACAGCTGTTGTAAACTTAAAATGTCTATATACTTTCCAACTGTAGGTAGCGAAGTCCCCAGGAGCTGGCGAGGGACATTAAACATCACTTATAAACTCGGAGATGGCGGCCTGAAGAACAACACTGTAAAAATAACAGTCAATGTTCCTAATAAAAGACAGGATGCGTACAATGTCATAGGCACTATATATGGCAGAGAGGAGCCAGATAGATGGGTGTTGATAGGGAATCACAGGGATGCTTGGGAATTTGGGGCGGTAGATCCGTCTAGTGGTACATCTGCCATGATGGAGATTTCTCGTGGTCTCGGCGATCTTTTGAAGCAAGGTATTGAGGAAGAGATGAAAGTATTCATATAAGATATATCTTTATATTAGGATTAGACTTTTCAACTCCCAAGAAATTGTGATTATCATTATCCTGATTATCGAGCATATTATTATTATCACCATCATCATCATCATCACCACCATCATCATCATCATCACCAAACGCATTATCATCATCACCACCATCACTATCGTCACCATAACCATCATCACCACTATCATCATGACCACCACCACCGTCACCACCACACCAGTACTCTAGCCATAACTATCACTACCAACATCTACAACCACAACCACCATAATCATGCCCATCACCAACACCAACACCAACACCATCTCCATCATCACCATTACCACACCATCACCACAGCCACCATCATCACCAATACACATCTCCTCTTCCTTTGAAGGTTGGCGCCCAAGACGTACCATCAAATTCTGCAGCTGGGGTGCAGAAGAAGCAGGCCTTATTGGCTCAACAGAATGGGTAGAAGAAAACGAACGAGCGTTATCAACAAAAGCTGTTGCTTACATAAACGTTGACGTTGCTGTCTTTGGGAATCTAACCTTGGAATTGGCCGGCTCCCCCCTGCTGAAGACTCCAATTGCAGAGAGTGTTAAGCAAGTCAATGACCCGCACGGGGGAAGTGTATACGACCAAATTGTTAAAGAATACAAGACATTTGATTACGGAACCTTGGGTTCCAACTCGGATTATGCAAGTTTTTATCAATTTGTTGGTATGTTTTTATGTTGTATTCTTTTTTGACTGGGTGTTGGTCGTAGTCCATGCTTAACTTTCCGGACTCCAGGAAGAACAGTTTAGAACAGAATTAGTTCAGTTTAACTAAGGTTTCCTCCTGTAGTGGTGACACTCAAGCAAGGAGTGGCTCTTACTGGACCTCTAGGTAGAACAGTTTCTAACTGATAGTGCTATCCAGTACAGAAGAAGTTAGTTTTGTTTCGTTTACAATGCTCGCTTCTAAACAGCTTTCATGTTCCACAGGAGTGCCATCCTTGTGCATGTATTATACGGGAGAAGAGTTATATCCTGTCTATCACACCGTTCACGACACGTATAAATGGCTTCAAGGTCTAATTGACCCTAAGTTTGAGTACCATCTAACCACAACCAAAGTTGCTTCGAAAATCCTCCTGTCAACAGCGGACAGTTTGGTGCTACCTCTCGATGTGACAGAGTATGGAAAATCTCTGGATAGCTCCCTTAAAGCGCTGAAGAAAGAATATGGTGCAGAGCTTTTAAAGAATAATGTCAGCTTGGAGTATATTGAGGACGCAATTAAAAAGTAAGATTTTAAAAATATTTTTACATTTCTTAAGGCTAGTTCCCACTCAGGAAAATTCTTCTCAGGACAGCAACGGACAGGAAATTTTCCTTTATCTGCGAGTTCTAAGCCACAACTGAATGGCTTTAAACACATCAAATCCGTTCTGTCCTGACAAAAATTTTCTTCAGTGGAACCAGCCATAGAAACGATAGAGCTATCCAGTATAAAAAAGTTAGGATAAGAGTTGCAATTCTCATTCGCATCTGACCGTAAAATTTCTCGCCCCCTAAGATTCCTCTTTTTTTTTTAAGATTCAGAAACGAAGCAACAAAATTCCAAGCTGAGAAAGGCAAAGCTATCGACGAGAAGGACGACATCAAACTTCGAGCCCTGAACGACAGGATGGTCAACGTCGAAAAAGCCTTCATTACTGCGCCTGGTTTACCAAACCAGCCAATCATAAGACACGTTATATTCGCGGTTAACTATGCATCCGTTAACTTCCCCGGGATTAGAGATCTTGTTTTTAAACAGAATAAGACGGATCAGGATTGGCTGGATATTAAGAAGCAAGCATCCATTGTGTTTAAAGCGATTTCGGAGGCAACAGATACTCTGAAAGCTGACGCGAATTAGAAAGTGAACTGTGTTGTTAAAAGATGACATCTCATTTAGTTAGTAGCAAATAAAATACGGCAACTACTGCATATCTGTTTAGGCTATTAGTAACAGAAATGCTTTTTACTTTGCCAAAGTAAATATTTTTACCTATTAGTATAAATAGAAGTATTTTTATACTTTAAAAATAAACTACTTTAAACTGCTGCATATCTGTAATAGAATAGGGTATTAGCAATAGAAATGCTGTACTTCACAAATTTGCTCCGCTAGCTTATTAGTGCGAAGAAGTTAAGCCGTTAGCGATCACTGTTACTTTCTAAGCTTTAGGTTAAATACAACTACGGAGATTTGTCATTTTCGCGCCAGTTACGCCTAGGCGGCTGTTGTACGAAGCACGGATAACACTATACACCGCAGAGTGATTATTCAGCCTTCGTAGAAATGCCTAAAAAGATGATGAAGTATTTTTACTTTATCATAGTTTGTAATGACAGCCGCAAAACAGGGTGTAATTGGCACGCAAATCTTGTACTCCTAAAACTAAAACTCGCTACCATTCTAGTAATCACTTCTTGAAACCATATTACAATAAAGATACTAATATGAGTACAATAGGGGCACTAATAACATCATCATCACCAGTATCATCACTATAACCATCATCACCATTATCACACCACCACCACTATCCTCACCATCATCTTTACCATCACTACTACCATATATAACCATCACCAACAACACCATCATCACTATAATCACTATAATCACCACCATCGCCAAAATACAACTCTCATCTCCTCGAAAGAACTATTGTTTATGGAGAGCAAAAATATTGTATTCATATAATTCAATATATACAGCACTTATGTCCAATCAATCGTCCATGCCATATAGAGATTTCCGCTTTTAGTATTCCGAGTTGTTCAATTCCTCATTTCCCTTTCCCCCGATTCCCCATTCCTTGTTTTAGAAATAGCCAACATTTGAGCTAGTATTGTAACATTACACCCACACAAAAGGCAACTTGAAACGTACAATATTGAGCGCAATGTGCTGAAACGATGCAACCCTTCAAAAGTTTCAAAGCAACCTTTATTGAATTCCGACAACGTTAGCTTCAATATGGCTGCAGCAACATTAACAACGAGGCGAATTGTTGGTATCGTGGTGGCTGTTGTTGTCTTATTCGTGTTGGGTTTTGTAATAGGCTGGGTATCAGCGCCGAGCGATGAGGATTCCACCATCCGGGTATCAGTGCCGAGCGATGAGAATTCCACTTGTGGCGATGAGAATTCCACTTCCAGCGAAACGTATGATATGAAGTATATTGCGGAGAAACGCAAGGAAGAAATGAAAACGAAAGATGGTTTCCATGAAAAGTTGATTGAAATTCTAAACGCTAGTAAGATCGGTGAAAATCTTAGGTGAGCGATACGATCAGGCTTAGATGTTTTAGATTCCAGTGTCAAGTGCTAACTGAGTACGTCCATATTTACAACTCGGAAAAAAACAGCGGTACTTGGAAATTATAATCAGGCAATTGCATATTACAGGAATCAAAAGCTGGTCATAGTGTTGAAAGGAACATAGATTGATCGACTGGCCTTGAATACCCAGGCCAAGATCCCGTTTTCGCACGACCAACAGGCCAGACCTCTGACAATCAGACAGTATCCACTGTTGTGTCTCATGTGTCGATCTAACATTCTATGTCGATCAAATATACTTTGGGCTCTGTATTGTGTAATACACTGCCGTATTTTAGTTGTGTCAGAGCTATCGGAAAAAGTCGTTAGCACTTCAAATGAAATGTTGGGTGTTTTAAATCTTTTTCAGATTGTAAATCACTATCTACATTAGAAGTATGCAGACAGCTCAGGCAGCTTAATTTTATATACCGCTTTGAACTTTGAACTGATACTGCTAAACGGGTGTAACAGGAAATATGCCCCCCGGGCCGGGGCAGCCCCTCAAACAAAATATGTCTCTCCCTAATGGGTATTCAGTGTGGTAACTGCTTTCAGATTTGCTACAAGCCGACTCGTATAATTTAGCTGCGGGTTGTTGAAGTGCAGATTTTAAATTACGCTACCGAAATACTGCCAAAAATTTTGAAATCTCTAAAACCCAAATCCTCCAAAACCGCTGATAATCTCGCAAAAACGTCCTAGGTATTAATTTTGCAAGGATTTTGAAATCACCAAAATTCGCGTACGCTTTCGTTTCTTTCGCAAGTAGACAATGATTGTAACCATGGTGATGGTGGGGGTGATGGTAATGATCTTGGTTATGGTGGTGGTGATGGTGGTTATGATGATAGTGGTGACGATGGTGATGATGACGATGATTATGATGATTATGATGATGATGATGATGATGATGATGATGATGATGGTGGTTATAATGATAGTGGTGATGGTGGTGATGATATAACCATACATTTCGTTCACAGGTATTTCTCAAAGCGACCCCATGTTGGAGGCACTCCGCGATCCAAAGAACTGGCAGATGAAATAGAAAAAAGATGGCGCGAGTACAAGTTCGATAAAATAGAACAACCAAAATATAATATTCTCCTACCTTACGTTGACCCAGATATCTCCAATTCCGTACAGATTCTGAATTCCAAAGGTGATGTGACTTTTGAGTTTTCTGGAAGAGAAAAGGTGCAGTACTTTAATTTATACTCTTTGTGTAGGAAAAGCTGTTGTGTTCAAATAAACTCAAACCATTTGGTGAAAATGATTTCTGAATGTTCCAACCAAGAATCGAAAGTTTCAGATTTTTCACTGGATGAAATCACTGTCCTATTGCTTTCATCCATTGATAGATAAAACGGACATACGCTAACACATCACTATACTCTATTCTAAGGAGAAGACCCTATAAGTGAATGTGTATTTAATAATTACTCAACATTTCAATTTCACGTCTTATTTTCATCCTTCAGTTGGCAGATCCGAGCGAAAATGACACGACGATGATAGCACCTTTACTAGGCTACGCCAAGCAAGGATCGGCCAAAGGCAAGCTGTTGTATGTGAATTATGGAAGATCAGAAGATTTTCAAGTGTTGAAACAAAATTTTAGTATTTCAAACTGCAGTGGCTACATCGTCATTATGAGATACGGAAAAATATTTCGCGGTGACAAGGTTAAGATTACACTAAAAATACTTTATCTATATTGGATTATGATTACTACCATCATCATCACCCCCTTTACCACAATCATCATCGTTACCATCACCACCATCATCACAATCATCATCATCATCACAATCATCACAATCATCACCACCGCCATCACCGTCATCATCACCATCATCATCACCGTCATCACCATCATCATCACCGTCATCATCATCACCATCATCATCACATGAACATCATATCATCGCCCCTAAACAATTACTGGCGTAACTACCATCGTCATCACGCCATCACCACCACCATTAAAGCTAACATCCAAAGAACCCACTAACATTCTTTCAAAACTTGCAGGTAAAACACGCCCAGGACTGCGGAGCGGTGGGCGCCATTTTATACAACGACCCCGCAGATTATGCACCCGAAGGCCAGGACAAGGTTTACCCACAATACATCTGGCTCCCAAAGACTGGTGTCCAGCGCGGTAGCATATTTAATGGTCGTGGAGATCCTCTGACACCTGGCTTGCCATCCGTAGACGGAGTATTCAGACTACCCGAAGACAAGGCTAACCTGCCCAAAATCCCAGCCACCCCGATGCCTTACGGTGATGCAGTTGAAGTCTTAAAAATCATGGAAGGCAAGTGAAAATATTTAACTTGTTAACGTAAAGATTGGACATCCTTACTGAACCTATAGGAAGAAAAGTTTAGAACTGATAGAGCGGTCTACATATCAGTGTGTCACAGCTATTGCAAACACAAAATGTCTATAAACTTTCCACCTGTAGGTAGAGAAGTCCCCAAAAGCTGGCAAGGGACATTAAACATCACTTACAAACTTGGAGATGGCGGCCTGAAGAACAACACAGTAAAAATAACAGTCAATGTCCCTAATAAACGACAGGATGTGTACAATGTCATAGGCACTATATATGGCAAAGAGGAGCCGGATAGATGGGTGTTGATAGGGAATCACAGGGATGCTTGGGGATTTGGAGCGGTAGATGCATCTAGTGGGACGTCGGCCATGATGGAGATTTCTCGTGGTCTGGGCGAACTTTTGAAGCAAGGTATTGAGGAAGAGATGAAAGTCTTCATATAACACATATCTTTATATTAGGATTAGACTTTTCAACTCCCAAGAAATGGTGATTATCATTATCCTGATTATCGAGGATATTATTATTATCACCATCATCATCACCATACTAATTATCATCATCACCACCACCAAGGTATTGAGGAAGAGATAAAAGTATTCACATAAGACATATCTTTATATTAGGATTAGACTTTTCAACTCGTTATCGTTATCCTGATTATCGAGGATATTAATATTTTCACCATTACCACAATCGGCATCATCAGTATCCGAACCATGACCATCACCAGTATCCCAATCATCACCACCATATATAACCATCACCATAATCATTACCAACACCATTTCCATCATTACCACCACCACCACCACCATAATTTACTGCGGCCATCATCACCAATACACATCTCCTCATCGTTTAAAGGTTGGCGCCCAAGACGTACCATCAAATTCTGCAGTTGGGCAGCAGAGGAAGCAGGCCTTATTGGCTCAACAGAATGGGTAGAAAAAAACGAACGAGCGTTATCAACAAAAGCTGTCACTTACATAAACATCGACTCAGCTGTCTATGGGAACTTCACCTTCCAAGTGTACGGCTCCCCCCTGCTAAAGACTCCAATCGCAGAGAATGTAAAGCAAGTCAGAGATCCGCACGGGGGAAATGTATACGCACAAATGATTAAAGCAAAAAAGAAATTTACTTACAGGAACTTGGGATCCGGCTCGGATTATGCAAGTTTTTATCAATTTGTTGGTACGTTTCATTTTATTCCTTCTTGGAGGTGTGCGAGAGTGGTTAGTGCATGTTTCACTTTCTTGACGCTTACGAAACCACAATGGATCAACAAGGCATTGATTTTCTTACTGGGCCTTTAGCACTGATAACGTTAGTAATATCATAGTTGCCTCGAAATCCTTTGTCTCGCGAGGTACGATTAATCACTAATTTTGCCCGTGGTAAAATTAGTTCTAATTTTCCCCTGCATGCTTGATGAGGGTATTTAGAAGACAAACGCGTACCTCATTACCTCTGATTGGAGAGCTGTACCTCATCGAAAATCATCGGCACAACTATGGACAGTATCTGACGACACCGTCCCGTACACATTCAAACAATCACTTTGCCAGCTTTTATTCCCTAATCTTGAACATTTCAATTGTGGGAGAAAATTCCGTTTATGCGCATGCCTAAAACGAATGAACACGGAGATGTGTTTCTGCGCGTGCGTATATATGAAAAATGTTCGTACCACAATCATAAGACAATCAAACAGGATTCAAAACAGGCAACACACCACGCGCGACTCCCTCGGCAACTATGATATTACAAAGTAATAGCATGGCATTACGGTCGATTAGTGATGAAATGTCCCTCAAGGCTCAAGCCTCGAGAGGTTTAGTAAAAGTCCCTCGGCGCTCTCGGCTTTCGGGTACATTTAATCACTAATCGCCCTGAATGCTATGCTATTACTTATAATAATTCCTAGGTTCCCAGCTGTAGTAAAAATAGACCAAAGAAGGGTGATCGTCAGTAATCTTGTATGAAGAACAAGAATAACTGGATGATAATATATGTGTATATTATTAGCATTGATGAAGATCCGGGCTTACGGATCGAAAGCTTTGCAGTAATAAATTTACGTGGTGTGTCCACAAACAAAAAGTATTATAAATTTAGTTTAGTTTTATAAGGTTTCCTCTTGTAGGCAGATGTACTAACACTGAAGCAATAAGGAATGCTCTTACCGGATCTCTAGGAAGGACAGTTTGTAAGTGATAAAGCTATCCAGTATAAATAACGTTAGTTTAGTTCTGTCAACTAAACAGCTTTCATGTTTCACAGGAGTGCCATCCTTGCACATGCGTTATGCTGGGAGAGTGTACTATCCTGTCTACCACACCGTCCACGACACGTATAAATGGCTTCAAGGTCTAATTGACCCTAAGTTTGAATATCATCTAACCACGGCCAGAGTTGCTTCGAAAATCCTCCTGTCTACAGCAGATAGCTTCGTGCTGCCCCTAGATGTGACAGAGTATGTAAAATCCCTGGATAGCTCTCTTGAAGCGTTGAAGAAACATTATGGCGCTGAACTTCAAAAGAATAATGTCACCTTGAAGTACATTGAGGACGCAATTAAAAAGTAAGATTTGATAAAAATATTCTTACACTTTACAACAGTCTGGAAAGAAGTGAATAAGTATAAATAAATAAAGATAGGTTAAACGCCAGTCAGGCGAGGATGAGCCGATGCGGAAAATTGCAGCTCTTGCCCGACCTCCATCAGCATTCACAAGATTCATCTTTCTTTGTCTACAGATTCAAACACGAAGCAACAAAATTCCAAGCTGAGAAAGACAAAGCTATCGACGAGAAGGAGGACATCAAACTTCGAGCCCTGAACGACAGAATGGTCAACGTCGAAAAAGCCTTCATCACCGCGCCTGGTCTACCTAACCGACCAATGACAAGGCACGTTATATTCGCACCTTCAGTCAACAATGCATATGGTAGCACCAGCTTCCCTGGAATTTCAGATCTTGTTGCAAAACAAAATAAGACGAATCAGGATTGGCTGGATATTAAGAAGCAAACATCCATCGCGTTTAGAGCGATTTCGGAGGCAACTGACACTCTGAAAGCTGACGCGAATTAGCAAGCCCCCCAAGCAAGAGAACGGTCTTGCTAAAGGATGATATTTCATTTAGTTAGTAGCAAATAAAATACGACAACTGTTGCATATCTGTTTAGGGTATTAGTAATAGAAATGCTTTTTACTTTACCAAAGTAAATATTTTTACCTATTACTAGTCCAGTAATAGAAGTAGTTTTACTTCTTTACTTCTTTTACTTTTTACTACCAAAGCACAGAATAAGAAGGTACAGCAGAAGTGGAACTCGAGTCGGTTCCCTTATTGTTTTACGTCCACGAAAATTTTAACTCGCTCACGCCAATCCACGGCATCCTGGCTAGTACAGCCGGAAGTTTTTATCAGATTTTGGTAGGTACAAAGTGCTGGTTGTACTAGCCAGGATGGCGTGATTGATAACAATCGCTTGTAAAAACGCGGACAAATACTTGCTGGAGTTACACTTCTGCTGTACCTTCTTATTCTGTGACCAAAGTTTGTAATACCAGCCGCAAAATAGGGCTATAAACTAGCACGCAAATCTTGTATTCTTGAAACTAAAATACACTATTATTCTAGCAATAACTTCTTGGGACCCTATACTATAGCTTTAGAGCCCAACATATAACTTTTAACAAAGCCATTAAAACAGTTTTAAAAGATTGTAACGTTTCGTCTTTAACTTAAGACATCTTCAGACTAGATAAAATTACACGAGATGTGAATATATATAAGCTAATTACAATCTATTATAATTAGCTTATATATATTCACATCTCGTGTAATTTTATCTAGTCTGAAGATGTCTTAAGTTAAAGATGAAACGCTACAATTAAAATTCTTTACAATCTTTTAAAACTGTTTTAATGGCTTTGTTAAAAGTTATATGTTGGGCTCTCGTATTTATTATACGAATTCGTTTACCGCCTGGCAAATCTCTGGCAACTATAGCTTTATACATTAGGGATACTGATAATACGTAAAATATCGTTGAAATTAATTGTGGCGAAAATAGCACTCCGGGTTTATATTGAGTTCATTCGACAACGACGGCCGCGTACAACCGGAAGTTTGTGCACGAATTCAAAATTTAAAAATGAAAACAAACATGGCGTCTGCAAGAAGAATGTAAACAAAACGTGAACCACAAAAAACTTCGGATAAATCACAAACAACTAAATAATCGGGTACATCAAGACTGTTTATACGTGGATATATAACTGATACTTATATGCAAAGACGTTTTGGTACAGATTTACAGAGACAAGTGTGGAAAAATTGGAATAAAACGTTCGCTGTTTCGAAGTTGCCCTAGTAACTTGATACAGCACAGTTTATGGCTAATATTGCAGCGCTTGTGTAAAGTTGATGGGCAGAAGTACACTGCAGATGTAAAGTTAGATTGTATATTAAACTAAAATAGATCTAAATTGTCGGGTTGCTTTTATACTTAGATGGATTTTATTGAGGATTTTGTACAATACGAATGTTAGCAGGGTCGTTTGCAAAGCGATGACAGTTTTGTAAAGTACAATTTGAAGTCGAAACTAGAATCGACGATACTGGATTCAACTCACATACTGTTTGAGAAGACATTGGATTCAGCACAAGAACAGCACAATAGCATTGGAATATAATTTTTAGGAGCAGAAACATAATCTATTACCAAATAGAATAGAATATAATCAACAGTGCGCAAACAGAGTGATTAGCAGTTAATTAGCCAAGCAAACTAGCAAAATATATCCGCCTGACATCACTCTATATTTTCAAGGACAATAGGATTAATATATATGAACTTAAAATAAGAAAATTTTACATCCGTCCTCACTGTCAAGTCCCCATACCATACGACTATATCATGGCGTTCATGGACTTATCGCACTTATCGGTCAAAGGTAAAGCAAGTCCACGACACGAGAGACCGTTTAGCGGGAAAAGGTCAGGCTATGCAAACAGAAATGCCAATACAAAAGCAAATATATTCGGAATCAACGAGCCAAGTGTCGAAGAGGAGTCTCCAAAAAAGACTGTTGTTAAAACGTATAGTAATGGCAGTTTAAAGTCAGCCACAAAGTACAGAACGCCAAATGCTCCTCGAGATTCTGACGCAATTACGATACCATCGGTAAGTATGTTTTATATAAAACATTGTCGACCCATTTAACGTAAATGCCCTCCAATTGGAGAGTTTATTGAGTTTCTCACTTCCAAATTTGGTGAGCGAATTTCCCAACAGGCTATACTGCCCAATTGATAAAGGGATCCGAGGTTCCTACGATTTAACGTCCTTATCCGAGAACACGCGAAAGTCTAACCATTTACTGATGTCAATGTAAAAGTAGCTCTTTCCCCTCAATTATTTTAAGACCTTGAGTGGAGGTCCAACCAAGCATTAAACCCGGGTCTGAACCCAGCTTGAAAGGCAAGCTTGGTGACCCCAACACCACAATTGCTGGCGTTAGGCAGAGTAAAATAATAAAGTAGGGCACTATGCAACTTAATGGTTAAGCTAGCGAGCTTTCTGGAGGTTGAAATATAAGGTTCATCTCATGGTCTAATGAGCCACCAACACCAAACGTGTTCCACCTTATCCGTAATTATTATTCAATGATTTGTAATTGATTGTACCAACCATCATTGTATCGTTCTTTGAAGGCTGGTGTCATCTCACAATCTGAGTTGGATACGACCAAAAAGCTCATTGGTTCAAGTGAAACAAAGAAAACTGAAGCGAAAGTGGTAATGGTCTATACAGATTTTTCTATATATATTCTGCGCATCAAAACATTCCATCAGTGGGGGAGCAACCTTTGGAATGTTGTTAATATTTCGCTTTTTCCGAACTTTCTTGAATTGAATCTCTAGTCTGTATTCATTTACAAGCATAACGAACCAGAAAAGTGTTAAAAATTCAGTATAATATATATCTAATCATATTTTACAACTATAGCACTGAGTTCAAAATGTAAACAAAGCGTTTGTTTACATTACGGACTTTACATCACCTTTAATACATTTCAGTAAAATTCTGAATTTCTTGTGCTCCAAAACAACATGTCTACAGTTCAAGGACAAAAAAAACTTTACATATTTGTAAATCTTTCAGTTCGAAGTTAACGGCAAGTTGTACGTCGACAATCCCAGAAGGCCGCGATCACGAAAGGCACCGGAAGGGTACGGGAATTGCAAACATTTTGAATCAGACCTTTCATCATTTTTGTAAGAGATGTTATAGATAACTGGTCTGAAATGTTACATTTTAGGGTTCCGAAATTGCAGTTGGGTGCGTTAGCTGATAGGGATGACGAGGTATCCTATTACAAAAATTATTGATTTAGATTCTGCCATGAATTTTGTATGATTTATTTGTTAAAAAGATATAATTGCTGGTTTTATTTTACAGTTGCGAAATCCACGGAACAACCAATCTCCCAACCTGGCCACACCAGATTCACAAACTAGTGTTAGGTAAGTAGATACTAGGCTCAGGCCAATTTCAAACGCTGTACATGTTTCTCATGTGCCGAACGCATTAACAACAAAAGATAATGAGGCTTCTCAACTGACGTTTGAAACGGGCCACAGTTCCGAAATATCACCAACTCGAACCGAATTGACCACGTAGCTCAGTTGGCAGAGCATTGGACTAGTATCCCAAAGGTCGCAGGTTCGTATTTAATGAAGTTGAGACAAAGGATTTATGCACAGTGAGGTATAGTTCAACATCAAACAAAGGTCTTCTATTTTGTGGCTTTGAAGTTTGCCGGGCTTCCAAACCATCATATGGTGTACGCAGGTATGAATAACTTTTAACTGGAAAGCGGGCTTTTTGATAAGTAAAATTATATTTTTAGCTGGGGAACGCCAGTTCATAATCAATATTATAACCACAATGAAGAAACGAGTTACCAGGTGTGTGCGGAAAACGCGGAGGAAAGATTGATGTCTTCTCAACGTCAAAAACCAAAGGGAATACCAGATTTAGATCTGCAACTTTCACACAGTGGAAATGAACAGTTCCGAAAGGTGAGTCTGTTGTCTCTCGTGTTTTTATGAAGATTTTGTATTTCAATTCTTTCGGCGTATTGTGGCAATGTGTAAATGGTCTTCTTTATCGAATGTTTTGTATCATTGACTATTCAGGCTCTGCGAGAAAGAAATAAACGCGAAAAGGAACTACATAAGAGTAGTAAGGTAAAGAATTTGGAGAAAGTCAAATTAAGGAGATCCCAATGTAAACTAATAAACATTTTCGTAGATTTTATAACAAGAAGTGTTCACCGCATGCAAACGACTTACTATGGATTAACGCGCTGTTGATTGTATAATTTCCTGATTACAGTTAAAAGTGGACGCAACAGAACCTTGGATTGTTCAACCTCAGAAAGATTCAGAAATGATGATGAAGGTTGCCGATGAAAAGGTAAGTGTACCTGGATGATTCGGAAATTGTTCAGTCAAGATTGCACTAGATTGCCTTTGTTAGCGAGTCACCGAGTTAAAGCTAAGTTCAAGCACTAAAAACTTAATTTTGATTCTCAACAGACGAAACTTCGAGTGACACGCAAAAATGAAATTATTGATGAGGCACTTGTTGGTGATGAACTTATGAGGTGAGGTTACCGCATAAAGACATTCCTTTATGAAATTCTGCTTTAAATTACTTCGTTTTACTGTATACCCCTTAAATTCTACCAAATGTTCTAATACATTCACTAACCTTTGCATCGATCCTTAGGGAAACTGTGGCAGACGGTGTTCAGGCGAGACCTTCAGCGTTCAACGGTCGCACTGTAGGACCTAGACAAAAACGACATCAAGCTTTGTTTAATAGGTAATTATAATAATTGTCTGATTAACTAAAATTTCCAGTCAAATTCATATACACATAATTGTTACTAGAAAGTTTCATTGGCTAGTTAATCCACTAACTGAGTGTGATTAACTGATTACAGTTGAAGGGTTTTTGTACATGGAAATTTCCGAGCGGAAGATTATATACGATTATGATTATTCAGCTCCCTCCTCATCGGGGATTTTCAGTGACCGATTACATCAAGTGTATTACGTTTATTTATATTACCTACTAAGCTTAGATTGGCCGTTTGTATACTAGAGACGCATTATGCGTCTGGACGAACTTGGGCAAGCATTTGTTGTTCGTCTGGTTGTGCGTCCTTAGTATAAAGACGGGCACAAGACGTATAATGCGTCTAGACGAACTATGCTCGATTCTTCGTCTTAAGAGACGCACAACCGATGGTAGTTCGTCTAGACGCATAATGCGTCTTGTGCCCGTCTTTATACTGAGGACGCATAACCAGACGAACAATAAATGCTGATAGTTCGTCGGATTATTCGTCCCGTCTCTTTATACTAGACGAATAATATAGAAGACGGATTATGCGTCCAGACGCATAATGCGTCTCTAGTATAAAAACGGCCATTATTTATCTTTACAACAATTGTGATATTACTTTCCTAACTATGTTTATCCTAACCCACCCAGTCAACTTTCCCTGTGGGAGGAAACCGGAGCACTCGGAGAAAACCCACGACTTTCGGCAGAGAGCGTTGACTGACTCTTTTCACATGAGTCCGTAGCGAGAATCAAACCCACGAACTCAGAGGTGAAAGGCGCTTGCTCTGACGACTACGGCACCGAAGCCCGCAAGACCTAGCCAGGAGCAGCTGCCAAAAACGCCAGGCCTTAAAATATCGGTCGGTCACGGACATTGTCCGACCCATTCGTGAAAGTGTCCGACGTAGAGAGGAAACCACCGGACATTCTGTCCGACCAAAGTGAAACTGAGGTTTATTGTTTGTCCGACCCAAGTGAATTGGTGTCCGACCGAACTGCAGCTTTGTCCGACGTAAATCAAAATGTACCCTAGCCACGACTAGAGGCTTGTATGTTAAATGGAAAATCAGAGTACTATTGTATAAAAGGTGAACTGGAAATGTTGTTTTAACGTAGTCGAGCGCGGGGCGGCGAGCGAAATGGTGAAATGGAAAACGGGCTTAAGTTGTCGGAGTCTTTTTTAACACTGCTGTTCTGGCAAATAAGTATGAAAGAAACAAATTTTTTAATATCTTTATAACATTTACCGTTTATTCATTTGTGTCATTCAGACTTATTTCCGAGTCAAAACTGAACTGAAGGTCATCGGACATATGTCCGACCCAAACTCAACGTCACCGGACATTTTGTCAGACGGCCCTGGAAAAGATATTTTAAGGCCTGAAAACGCAACTATAGGCCCCCTCCCCCCCCTGGCAGGAATCAAACCCGCGGCCCCGAGACTCCGGTGCAACGTTGACGACCATCTGCTCCATGATGGTGCTTAATGAATTACTTATAATATTTGGCTTTATTTCATCTTTCAATTTAGAAATCCTACGGCGACGACAACAGTTTCAGAAAACCTGCTTAGTGAACGGCTACGATTTTCGGCTCGAATCTTGAGTAAGGACGGACACGATGCTCATCGCGAGTTGAACGGTTTTTACTTTCCCGCTGATAACACTCTGACTGTTTACGAATTCAGGCAGTTTGGTAGCAGGTAAGAAACAGACTTGGAAGGAGTACTGTTGAGGGAGAAAAAATGAGACCGTATAGAAGAGCTGTGACATAGGGTGCAACTGATGCTGGGAGGGACGTATTTTCGAAAACTTTGACAATGACCTCAATTGCTTAAGGCAGTTTACCCACTTTACCAAGGGCTGAGGGGCGTTGTCTTAGAGGGTTACCCCCTCCCTAGTCCCTACCCCACCCAAACGTGGATGAAAGTCCACAATCCCTTTGAAGTACAAACAAAAAATGTGATTTGGCAATAAATTTTAGATCGTCAGCGCTTCCCTTCATACAACGCGGAAAATATTATCACGCCAAAGGACGAACAAAAGATGAACCGTATACTTATCAAGATATCGCGGTTGTAAGTACAAATTATCTGCATGTTGTATCGTTAATAATCACTAATAGTCTAATACGTATAAGTAGATAAAGATCGATACCCTTTAAGTGGCAATGCACCCTAATGCGCCCTACTTTATTATTTCATTCTGTCTGACACCAAACGATTGTACTCGTCATGGGGAAAGTGCTTCCGCTCAATGGATTAATCAGATCGATTATTTACCTATGCGCCCTGCTTTATTATTTTACTCTGTCTGACACCAGACGATTGTACTAGTCAATGACAGAGTGCTGCCGCTCAAATGGGTTAACGTCACATTTCATAATAAAACATTTCAGGGAAACGATCTTGTATTTGAAACGTCAGAACAGTTATCTTTACCGGAAAAGATGAAACGCAAGGCGTACGCCACTCTCCGTATCACTGATGTGGATATGGAAACGAAACAAAAATTCGCGTAAGTATTTATCACCAAATGCACTGTATTAATATTGTCGCAGAAAATGCAACCAGGTAAATAGATGACAAATACATGTAGAGGTATTTAATGAACATATTTTCTATGGAAAGGTTCAAAGACACACATACACCGATTGGAGTCGTTTCACCCTCACACGAATTATTACAAAGAACCACAACAAAGGAGGACGCCAAGGATAAAGAACTTATCGCCGAAGTAAAAGGTAAAGATTACTGTAAAGGAAAGATTACGAGAGGAAAGATAAACTAAACTAAACTAACTTTATTTATATATGCTGGATATATCAATTCTAAACTGTTCTTCCTAGAGCCCCAGTAAGGATCATCTCCTATTGATGCATTGTTACTACAGGAGGAAACCTAAACTAAATAACGTCATTTATACTGGATAGTTCTATCAGTTCTAAACTGTTCTTCCTAGAGGTTGAGTAAAGATCATCTCTTATTGATCCAGTGTTACTACAGGAGGAAACCTAAACACTAAACTAACTTTATTTATACCGGACATTTCTATCAGTTCTAAACTGTTCCCTCTGGAGATGCAGCAAGAGGCATTCCTTATTGTTCTGCGGAGGAAGAGTACGCGAAGAAAACATGTTGTATTTGTTCAAACCGGAGACATTCTTCTCAACTTTTTTAAATCTTTCTCTAAACAGCTCTAGTTCGTAACCAGCTGAAGAGAAGAGGAGTGAAAACGATGACAGGTCTAGGCAGACATTTTCAAAGTTTGGATACAACAGGAGATGGAACCGTAGACAAAGATGAACTTAAAGAGGCTCTGGAACAATTTAATATTCAAATACCTCCCGAGGTAGTGCACTGATCCGAATATTACGACTGAATAGTCCATTATCCTACGTATAAATGAAGCCAGTAGTTGTGTGAGAATATTTTGAACGATATTTTGTCTGAGAATTTGATGTTTTCAAATATTATAGCCACGAAAAGTGCAGTATGATGCTTGTACCTGAGATTAATTAGATTAGGTTAAATTGATGAGTTGAGAGGCCTTAGAATACTGGAATAAGCATGCGAGTCTGATTTGCATTTTGTGACTTCAAGAGGTTTTGTCCAATTCAGCTGTGTTATTAGTTGAGCCTGCCACAATACACCTTTCCCCTTTTGAGTGAAATTTTGATCTAGACAAGTCTAGACAAAAATTTCATCACAGCTTGAAAGAGCATCGCAAAATTAGTAATATTCCGAAGTTTCGTTGCGAAATGTTGTAAAATGCGGATAATATAGCCTTGCGAAGTTTGCCGTTTTTCAGTCATTTTGTATTACAAACGGAAATTGATAATCAGTTTGATCATCTGATTATCAATTTGGTTGTAATGCAAAATGACTGAATTATCAATTACAAATGGTTGTAATGCAAAATGACTGAAAAACGGCAAACTTCGCAAGGCTATATTATCCGCATTTTACAACATTTCGCAACGAAACTTCGGAATATTACTAATTTTGTGATGCTCTTTCAAGCTGTGAAATTTTTGCCCAGGCATATCTAGATCAAAATTTCACTCATAAGGGGAAAGGTCTATTAAAGTCAGTAAAGACCAATTCGCCGTAGCGAATACAAGTTACACCATGGACGTTTCTTTCATAAAGTAGAGCTTTTGTTATAGTGTGTGACAGTGTAAGGGTCTTGTAAATGGAAAATATCGAGTGGAAATTTATATATATCTTTTAGACCTAACCAGGAACAACTGCGAAAAATGCAACTACAGGTCCCTGGCAGGACTCGAACCTGCGGTCCTGGATTCCGGTGCAGCGCTCTAACCAACTGAGCGACAGAGGCCATGCAGTTGTCGACCTCTAACCATAAGTTCATGTATATATAGAGGGTATACTGCCATGTTTAGCCAGTAGTGGCTATTTTGAAGTAACGCACACGAATCTACTCACTGTGATAATGTGGAAGAAGTTCTCCACAGATCGGTTATCGGCCGAGGAATTATATTTTATATATTGGTCATCAATGACTCTCTTAAATTTGCCAATGAATTTGACAAACTGTTTGTGCGAAACTGTTGAACCTTGAAAGTACTGACTTTAAATATCTTTTTTCCTTTTTAGAGATTTGACGAGATTTGGGATGTCGTAGATGCGAATCATGACGGAGCCTTGGATTATGATGAATTCACGAGGAATTTTATTGGTGAGATGAATGAGAGGAGAAAAGCGCTTGTATTAAAGGTAAGATGTCATTGTGTGCTTAGCATTTTACTTTTTGCCTCCACGATTTTCTTAATGATTGTACAGGGATGATTCCTAGCTACTTTAATCAGTAGTATTCTCTGATTTTTGTAGGTGTTCAGGAAAATGGATGCGAATAAACGCGGAGTGGTACCATTAACGAACTTGACAAAATTTTACAGCGTCAGACAACATCCACATGTTATATCAGGTATAACTTATACTTAACTTACTTAATATTGGAATTGATAGCTCTATCAGTTGATTCAGTTCTATAAACTGTCCTCTCTAGGGGTCCATTAAGGACCATTCCTTATCGCCTCAGCAAAAAACCTAAACCAAACTAAGTTTATTTATACTGGAGTCTCCCTAGGGTCAACTAAAGGTCCACATTAGGTCCAACCATTATCGTCTTAATTTGATGCACTAATAAAATGATCACTTTTAATTTTTTTAGGTAAGGTAACAGAAGAAGAAGTTCGCCAGCAGCTGTTAAATACATTTGAACATTGCAAGAAAAAAGGGGAAGTTTCATATTCAGTGAGTATCACATCAACAAGAGTTTATTAGTGATTTAGAGGCCAAATGTTTGTTAAAAATGAAGCACTAGCCTTATGATAAAGAGAAAATAATGTAAACTTTTGTTCACTATATACTAGGTGTCTAAAGCAATGTCGAAAAATCAATATCTAAGAGATGAATTTTGACAACTAAGATTATTAAAATTGATGTAGTAGAATCAATGTTATGTCTGCTTAAAATAAAGTAAGGTTTACCCAATGGACCGTTAAAATCATGCATGAGTTGTTTTTAAGTATATCAATATAGGGTTTAATGCACCCTTACCTAATTTAAATTAAACAGCCATAACGTTGGCTCAGCTAGATTTTAATAATCTTATAGTAAAATTTGTCTCTTAGATTGAAATTTGAATGCTACTAAATACTAAAAATTTGCTGTTTCAAAATTTGGAGCACACCTGATGTAGTATAATTCTCTGCCATTAATTTTGATTGGGCCATTATTTTTCAGGATTTTGAAGATTACTTTGAAGGCCTAAGTCTCACAATTGATGATGATGACGAATTTGTTATGATAATGAGAAACTGTTGGGCAATTTGAAAAGTATTCTAATTAATTAATAATAATATAATGTCTGTATATATACTGTCTGTATACTAACATATTAACTAATATATTGATTATATTTTGAACTTAATGCATAGTTGTAATTTGTATATCATATAATAGTTTGTTTTAGAAGTTTATGTAAAATTAATAAATTGTTTAATGTTTGAACTGTGTTTATTCTGAATTCTGTAGTTAAAAGCCATACTAATTGAGATGATAATCAGGGCTGCCGATAGAATTTGCGGGGCCCGGGCCAAATCTTCTCTGGGGGCCCTATGACATCATTATTTTTAAGCTAGACCCAAGTCAACCACCCAACTAGACCTTAGATAGACTGCATGTGGAGCTACTGTAAGGGGCCCCCAATTTCAAAAATGCTCTGACTAAGTTAAAGAACAACCTACTCAATTTTAGGCTCTCGCTCTCATGTTGGGGCCCTTTTAAGGTGGGGGCCCGGGACAATTCCCCCCCCCCCCCCGGCAGCCCTAATATTACAATGGGTCGTTCCAGAAAAGATCCATACTCCCCCACAGAGGAAATTTCTGCTGTCCGGAGGGGTAGGGGAGAAAAAATTGTTTCTGATAATAGTAAATGTATTAGGACATCCGAAGGGGGTAGGGGGGTTAACTTCCTATTTCCTCTGTGGGGGTGGTATGGATGCTTCCTGGAATAACCCAGTCAGACAAAAGCACACTGCATGAATTGAATGCAGATATTTTTATGAATACACTTTCATAAATGTAGATGACAATATGAAATACATTATAAACTGTTTAAAACATCTTTCTATTTTTATAAATTTAAAATCTAAATTAGAAATAGAAACTATTTATACTGATAATGCTCTATAAAACATGCTTAATTACAAGTCATTTGTAAAATGAATTAAGTCACAAAGTTCAATTTTAAAATGTAAAATAACTTGGAATTTACAGTTACACTACAAACTCTGGCCAACAAGCAAATATGTTGGTTTCCTGAATGATGGCCTCCATTCATGATATCTAAAATATAGCTACACTGAACTGCACATAGTTTTAAATCCTTTAAAACACTGTCAGATAGATTTCATCCAACTCAACAATGTTTTAGCAACTTAGGATAAAGAAGAAGAACCAAACAACCAGTAGGTAGGATCCTTTGGACAAAATTTTCTATGGAGTACACACGCAAAAATCTCACATCTTGTAACAAGTTTGTAAACAAGTCATCAACAAGTTGTCTTCGCACTGCTTGTCACAAGTTGTCAACAAGTTTGGAACAAGCTGTTAACAATTTGTAACAATCTTGTCGATATTATCAGGCTTGTTACAAGGTTGTTTCAACAAGTCCGATACAGTCATGATACAGCAGTATTGTTACAACCTTGTGTCGTCCGCAACCTTGTAACATTCTTGTTTATGATGACTGTATCAGACTTGTTAGAACAACCTTGTGACAAGTCTGATAATGCCATCAAGCTTGTTGCAAGTTGTTAACAGCTTGTTCTAAACTTGTTACAACAACTGGGAACAAGCAGTGCAAAGACAACTTGTTGACAGCTTGTGAACAGATTTGTAACAACTTGTGCGTTTTTACGTGTGTAGGCAGAGGATCGCACCTGATCAGGGTTTCCGGTTTACCAGGCTATCTTCACAGCTGCCACATGATAAAGGGTCTGTTTATACCGAGATAGGAGTAAAGACATAGCGTAACCAGGGGCAACCCAGAGTTACCCTGTATGTGCATTCTAACAGCGTCTCTCTATTAGTCACAACAAGATAGCCAATGTCAGTAGAGTACACCTCCATAATATAAACAGGGAAGTACATTCCGGTAGGGTCCTAACTGTCCAGAAGCACTGGTGACTGGTACCCCACAATTTGATAAAACTATAAAATATTCAAATTTCTGTTTCTGTCGGCCCATTCTCTGATCGAGTCTGTTCGGCCTGTGCCATTAAAGGCCTTGACACCGCTTGTTCTTTCTTACTTGCTCTTTTACTAGCATTTCTCACAAACAGCGACTTGCCTCTATGTTCAATAACCAATCTCGCCTGATCTTCAGGTGACTTCTTCTCAAAGCAAAAGTGCACTGTCGACCCACTTAATTTTGAAATATCTTTGGCTAAAACGGCTTCCCAATACTTTAAGCATTTTAAACGATTAATCCCCATGTCGCTCTCGGGAAGGCCCAAGTTTGGTGCACTTGATTCAATCCAATTGTTAATTTTTTCCTCGCCGGCTTCGCGATCAACGACAGGGTCCAATTCCAAAGCTTCCCCAATAATGTTAACCAAAGCCAGCTCGTCTTCGCTACTTCCTAAATATCGAGCGTATTTCGGTTCCTGTGATTCTTGCGTAAGGCAACATAATCGTGGCGATTCTGGGCCGCAAACGATTGGTGTACAGCAAGTTTGCCCCATGTTATATCATCATAGGATAGTAGTTACGAATTCAATATTCTCTTTGTTTACTATGAATACTATACAAATCCTGGACCCAATTATAAAATATAAAAGTATCTCGATGCAATAAAGCCCGTGTGAAAGGCTTGTCGTTTAATATCGAGCGCTTTATGCCTCGAGGTGTATTATAATCTGCATAAAAGATCAAGTTACAAGCTTAAAATTTGAAAAAGAAAACAAATTGTTGGCCAACTTTAAGTACATTATAAACATGTGACGCGCGTACATGTAAATAATTTATCCTTAAAAAGAGGAATTCTGTATAGTCTTAGGATTTTTCTGAAGAAACACAAATTTTTAGGATTTTTTAATCAAGGCTTTTAATAAGATTTTTCTTATCTAGTCGATTTTCAAAGTTTCAAATATATTATTTGATATGACAGCATAAAGCTGAAATCACCGATGTCACCGGTAGATTGGAAATGGAATTCCATATAAAATTACAGAATTTGGGGCGAATTGAGGAATTTTAATTCTCTTGCCAAGGAATTCTCGAGATTATTTGTGGTAACAATATGGCGGCCAGACAAAGCAATTGTGTTATTTTGACACATTCGACAATTTTACTGTCACGACTTGTCACGAACTGAGTTTCCCATATCAATTTCGCGACATAATCAACTTTAATTTTGCGGCAAATTCCTAAAAAGTATAATTATCTGTTCTCATTTTTGTTTAAAATAGGTTTACTACAGCGATAATTTAATATAATATTCAGTAATTCAACAAGAATGTCAATAATGTTCTAGTAAATTATGCAGCACGTCTACACAATACATGATTAACAATTTATATTATTAGTTAAAACTAGGACAGTAAAGTTTATTTTGCTTTTACTAACATGAATAATTTAGAAAAACGGAAAATTTTTCGTGTCTACATATTGGAAAACGAGGAATAGTGTACATAACACGAGCCTTTGGGTTATGGGCAAGTGGTTTTTAATAAGTTTGTTTCATTTTTCTAAGGCTTAGAAACGCAATTTCCTGCATTCTGGGAGCAATTTTAACAAAAAATCAGTAATGACAAACATGCAGTGACATAATGACTATAGAAACTTTCATAGTCTTCCTGTATTCTGTGAGCAGTTTTAAGAGGAAAAAATCAATTTCATATTAAACAGACTGACTAAAATTTCATGGTGTGTCTCACAATTGTACCACAATATTCCAATCATAAGAATTCAAGTACTCTTGGTCCAACATGATCAGGTGCATAATAAAAAACGTGTTTATGGTAATATTTGGGATGCCAATTCGTACTTCTACCCTTCATCAGAAATTGAATAAATTTCATTCAGGATCTCTAAACATGAAGTCTTCCTGTTTTATGATTTTTTCACAAACATTCTTACCGAGTCAACTGACTCGGTTGACTCATATCTAGTTACGGGCCTGCCTTGTATTAGTCTTGTTGGAACAACTTGTAGCAAGTCTATTACCGTCATCAACCTTGTAACAAGGTGATAACAACTTGTTTCAGATTTGTAACAATACAACAACAACTGGGAACAAGCAGTGCGAATACATCCTGATATCGGCTTGACAACAACCTTGTTCATACAACTAGTCTGTACACAGATCGTTCTTCTACGTACAGCATGTTGTTGCAATCCACGCGACACGTCAGACTGTCAATATTTTAGACTCTCCGGTACGAGCGTCTGAAAAACCCAAAATACCTCATGAGCTTCGCACAATTTGGCAGAGCAGACAATTAAACTTGGGAACGAAGTAGAATTTAAAAATTTTCCCGAGGGGAACATACCCCGGATCCCCCTAAACATTCATTACACTACATTATGCATGGTATCGTAGGAGCCCAAATACATTTTCATATAATAAACAAACTTTATTCGAACTAGTGCAGGGTAAAATTGTTTGGGCCCCTCCTGGGATTTTTTCGGGGGCCCCTTGACTAGAAATCCTGGCTACGTCACAGAGCGGAACGGAGTACGAGATTTACAAGCAACCTGTAGATTATGGGATCAGAACCCCTAGGGGAAACGTACATTTTTTGGGAGCTTTCAAACTTGGTATAGGCCCAGCACACGAATTATATAGGTTTTCGTTGGGAAATAAGGCAGAGCATGAAAACATGTCCGATAATTGCTTTATAAATCAATAACTTGCCAACGAGAAACTGTGTCATTAAACGAGCAATTACTAGCTGTCAAATACTACACAGTGCCGTCCGAAGTCTGTAAATTAATAAAGCAACCAAAACAAAGCTGTGATCTAAGTCTGTTAGGCTTTTCATACCGATACAGCGAAATAAAAAGTGAATAAAAATATGACAATATATTGTGATTCCAACGTGATTGTAACGATCTAAGAGTTTTGTACAATGGTACGAAACAATGATAAGTGAAATGTTTTAAAAATGATGGACTACGGTTGGGGCAAAAATTTCAACGCGGTTGCCCTGTGCAAGTGGATATATCTCTGCTGGTTTATATAATGCGCTTATACTGTAGTTGTATATAGCCTTGTCGTGCACAGCAGGTATTTAATTTACTGAGCAATGCCTACATTGGTTCACTAGTAACTTTCAAGTTTGCTGCATATATTGAGAGCATTATCATAACAAAGCTATGTGCTTGTAAGTGTTAAACAACAGCGTTGCCATTGAATTTGATTTGTAAAGCTTTATTTAATGAGCTTGTCAAGAATAAGTGCCTAAACTGGGTTGAACAATAAAGCGAAGCGATTTATATGCAACTTGTTGGCTCGTGGATAACGGAACGCTCGCGAATTTGTGGTGCAAAATTGAGAAACAATTGGTGAGGTACATTTACAAAAATCCCACAAAATTTTTACCAAAGGTTCATAGAGCTTATCTGTTTGTTTGATTTGGGATAAATTCCATTTAATCCAAGCGAAGTGAGCAACAGATTTGTTGTGAATTGGTGACGACAGCTCAAAGGTCTTTTTGGAATTACTCTAGTTTTGTAAAAGATGTGGTTTAGCTATAGGATCGTTGAGGTGGATACTTTACCGGACTGGTTTGCGTAAAGTTAGTTTATATGGTAATTAAAGGATTTGGAGTGTTAATACATGACCAGTGAATGTGTGTAATCTGGTATTAACATTACTACCTGTGTGTGTTAACGACATTTATTTGGAATTTCTGTTTGGGCACGTTCTATTATAACTGTTGAATTGTATCGCGTTTGATTGTGGTTGGAAAGGTCAAGTGATTTTAAACATATACGGATATATCAGCGTCAATAGTATCTGTCAATTTTTACAGAGTCAATTGCAAAATCTGTGGTGGAATCGACTTTGGAAATTCAATTAATACTTGTATTGAATTACTCTGTCCAAACCCAACGAAAGGTGTTTATACAGATAAAAAATATATACCATCATTAAATATACAGCAAGATATTCAACTGCAGTTTGTCATTTGTGTTTTACTGATTTGGTGCAATCGTTTTTGAAACCGGCACTGTCGAACTGCAACTTTGGTTATTCCATCAAGTTATTCCATCAGAATTTCCAACTATCGTTTGCGATTAGTAAAATATTTCTTTCTCAGTTGTTGAAATTCGGAATTCACACCAGAAATATGTGTGTATCATCATCACCTGAAGTTTGACCTCCAATCGCGCAGATTAAAAGAATTTGTTTGGAACTTTAATTTTGTGCTTGATTTCAGGACCATCTGCAAGTCAGTACTAAAATTCTTGGACTGCTCTCAACGTAAAATCACTGCATAGTTATATATCAGATAATCAGATTTCATCTAGTTGGATACGTCAATTTTATAATCTGTGGACCTGTTGCAACTGTCATCTTTAGTCGTAAGCGATATCGTACCACTTGCCTGCGAATAACACCAGGCATTCTTGTACGAATATAAATAATTTTTTTAAACAAGTTGTATGTTCACAGAAATTTTAGCGTGACAGACTTCCATCTTTAGTACAGTCTGATTCCGAGATTTTGAGGATATAGTTAGGGAAACGTATACCAAAAAAGATAAGCCAAACACTCCAGAACTTGTTAAACCGTGATTAATTGCCTATCACTACGTATTAATAGGTCTATCATTGCAGACAGATAAATTTAGTCTGCTAACATTTAAATAGCTCTCCTTTGACTATCCCCATTTACAAATCAAGCGAATCGAGTTCTGAGTTTGAAAGGCAATTTATAAAGTAATTCCAAAAGGATCGCTGACAGCTTTGATAAACTTCGAGTGATCAAAGCTACGTCCTAATCGCTCTAACATCCTGCTAACAGTAAGTTTTGTTTTGAAACTTGAGAAGAGGGACATATTAGCGGTCTTGAAATGCAATACTGGAGTGATACGAAGTACAGTCGTGGTGCCCAGCGAGGTAGTGTAAGCGTCAGTCCTGCCACACCGACCTTACCCGAAAACGAAAAATTTGACGACACTCAACCGGTCCAAAATGGTCCAAAACTACCAAAGTACAATCTCAAGGAGAGGCTTGTTCTAAACATTTGTGGAGCACGTTATGAAGTGCTTGAGAGCACGATACAACGCTATCCTAACACGCTCTTAGCAGATCGTGAAAAACGGGCGGAATATTGGGACGAGGAGAGAAATGAATATTTCTTTGACAGAAATCGACTGTGCTTTGAATCGGTTTTGACTTATTACCAGAGCGGTGGATTCGTACTACGGCCTGCTAATGTTCCAGATATACTATTTGTTCGAGAGCTGGAGTTCTATGAGTTAGGAGAAGATGTGATTAAGACGGTGAAAGGTGAGAATATAATTCCTCAGCCCGAGAGACCTTTGCCCCAGAACAAACTACAGGCTCAGATTTGGAGTCTTTTCGAGTACCCTGATACGTCCAACAGTGCCCGAGGTATTGCCCTGTTCAGTTGTGCTATAGTCCTGTTGTCCATCGTGTTGTTTTGTATCGAGACTCTGCCAGTATTTCAAGAGAAGGATGAAGACGGGGAGACTAGAGATCATGATGTGTTTTTTACCATCGAGGCCGTTTGTATTGCCTGGTTTACGATTGAGTATGTAGTAAGGTTCGTGTCCGCGCCGAACAAGTGTCGATTCTTAATTGAGGTATTTATTTTTTATTTAGTAAATTAATTAGTTAAATTATTGTAATCATCATCATTACCATCATCACCATCATATCATCACCACCACCATCATATCCACCATTATATCATCACCATCATCATCATCACCATCATCACCACCATCATCATCACCATCATCACCACCATCTTCATCACCATCATCATCACCATCATCACCATCATCATATCATCATCACCACCACCCATCATATCATCACCATCATCATCACCGCCATCATCATCATCACCATCATCATCATCACGATCATCACATCATCATCATCATCATCACCACCATCATATCCACCATTATATCATCACCATCATCATCATCACCATCATCACCACCATCATCATCATCACCATCATCATCATCACCATCATCACCACCGCCATCATCACCATCATCATCATCATCATCACGATCATCACATCATCATCATCATCATCATCATCATCATCATCATCATCATCATCATCACCACCACCACCACCACCACCATCATCATATCATCACCATCATCATCACCGCCATCATATCATCAGCACACCATCACCGTCATCACGATTATCATCATCATAATCACCACCATCACAACCACCACCATCATTGTAATCTCTCATTGTAATATCTTTGTAATTCAATTTATGCTGCAAGGAAGATTTTATTAAAATATCAACACCACCATCATCACCAACGTGATCCGCATCATCACCATCACAAGCACCAACACCTCCATGGATCATCATCACACTACCACCACCATCATCATCACCATCATCACCATCACCATTTAATTAATATTTATATATCATTACATAAATGAATAATAAACACCCATAGAATATAGTAAATCCACAGTTTAAAATGTTCCTACTGGTATCGATCTAGTTAAAAAATAAACAGGTATAAGTAGAAGGAATAACTACTACATACAAAATGCTATTGATGTGTTAATGCTGTGCTGAGTGGTTATATTACTACCTTAAAAAACAAGCAGAAACCCGACGTTTCGAGCGAAGGCCCTTCGTCAAGAGTTAGTAGCCTAACTAACTCTTGACGAAGGCGCTCGAAACGTGGAGTTTCTGCTTGTTTTTTAAGGTAGTAATAGGCTATAACCACTCAGCACAGCATTTTCACATTAATTGGTACTACATACACTGGTACAGACAGTTTTAGTATTGATGTGTTAAACATCCTTCCCTTATATTAATTTTAGGTACTTAACATTATCGATCTCGTGGCTATTCTACCCTTCTTCATATCATTCGGGCTCAGTGAGCAAAATTCTAACTTCTCATCAATGGCAGTTTTGCGGGCGGTCAGGCTAGTGAGAGTGTTTCGTATATTTAAATTGTCGCGGTATTCGACCGGTTTGCAGATCCTGGGCATGACTTTGCGTGCAAGTATGGGCGAGCTGGGACTGCTAGTGTTCTTTTTATCTGTAGGTACGTATGTCGATTTTTTGTTTCAATACATGTACTCTACAGTATGTACTATTTAAAACACGAGCATGGAGGATTGCTTTATCACATATAAAAGACGAGAGCGCAGCTCGAGCGTTTTATATCTGATCGAAGCGCGGACTGCGAGGCTTAAAAAACGACCTTTTCTTCGTTTGTCTTTTCGCCATAAATTATTAATTTAAACCTATTTACGAAATAGAAACTGACATTTTCCGTGTTTCTATACACTTGTAAGGTGCAATTATAAACAAGAAAGCTGCACAATATCTAACTGATAAATTGAAAACCCTTCAATTTCATCCCAATTATAATACTCGTAAAGACCCCATTTATAGTCAATCTATTCATAGAACTAATGCCTTAAAAGGAATATAACATATATTCTACATCTTTAAACAGTTTAGATTATAATGTGCTCTTTAATAAATCGTCTCTAAACCCCACTTATGGATTATTTCACTTAAGTAATCTTTAAATTTAAAGATTCATTTATGGAAAGTTCCTCGCAACTGTAGGGTTGAAATAGTGCGGCCGTAATTAGTAATCTGTACTTGATTACTATGATCCTACCATTACATCATTTATGTGGCTCCAAAATGAAATATACAGGTTCGGTACTTACATTATATCATTGCAGGTGTCGTGTTATTCTCCAGTGCCGTATATTATGCCGAGATAGACGATGAAGGCGGATTATTCAAAAGTATACCTCATTCATTCTGGTGGGCCATCGTTACCATGACAACCGTCGGATATGGCGACATGTATCCCAAGACTTTTGGTAAGTGCTGAAACAGAAATATATAACATCTCGAATGTAAACTTGATCACACAATATCGCTCCTGGTATGACTCTACCAAACACCTGGCTCTCCGCATTTTCTCTGTAGCATTAAGGGACAAGACCTCAACAGACCAACATACAAACAGAATTTAGTTTGAAACTAACAGCACCTCCAAGGCGGAGAGCTGTTCAGAACTGATAGAATGATCCAGTGTAAATAAAGTTAGTTTGGTTTAGCTTTCCTCAACACTGGATCAATAACACTCTTACTCTTACTCTTTAATACTCTTACTGGATCTCTAGAGAGAGCAGTTTGGAACTGATAGTCTAATAGAGCTATTGAGATAAATATAGTTAGTTCAGGTTTCTTCTTATACTAACACTGGATGACAAAGGAAGAACAGTTTAGAACTTCTAGGAAGAACAGTTTAGAACTGATAGAACTATCCAGTATAAATAAAGTTAGTTTAGTTCAGGTATTCTCCTGTAGTAACACTGGATCAATAAGAGATGATCCTTATTGGATCTCTAGAGAGAACAGTTTAGAACTGATAGATCGAGCTATCCGGTATAAATAAAGTTACTCTAGTTTAGGTTTCCTCCTGTATGGTGACACCAGACCAAAAGGTGTGACTCTTACTGGACTTGTAGGAAAAACAGTTTAGAAATGATCGAAATATATCCGGTATAAACGAATTAACGTTAATTTAGGTGGTTCACACTTTCTCTCTTGCAGTTGGCAAACTAGTCGGATGTCTCTGCGCATGCACAGGAATCTTAGCCATTGCACTTCCGGTCCCCGTGATTGTCTCCAATTTCGAACATTTCTACAGCAAGGCACAGCGCAGAGAGGAAGATCCGGAAGAGAGTGAAGAGAAGATAGAAAAACGAAACCGTTTGAAAAAATTCTTGGCCGTCCTCAGGCGTCGGAGGCCGAACGCCAAATCGAGCGAGGAAATGTATTTCGATATGGGACCTTATTCCGGGAACGAAACCCAGTCGGTGATACCTTACTCCGGGAGTGACATTCGTATAGGGTATAAGGACCAGGGTACGCAAGCAACCGAGCTGTTGAATGGTACGCAGACCGATGATGGCGAAGAGTCGGACACATTGCGTACTTCAAATGTATAGACGAGTTTTTGAGCATAAAACATAAAAGACAAAACTACCTGAAGAATTTGCACATATTAAAAACATGACCAGTTCAATAAGGGACGCGATGAAAAAACGAAATAGGCTGAAAATTTTTTTGCCGATGTCGGTGGTTGAGACCTTATGGGACCTTATTCCGGTAACGAAATTCGGATCGTGGAGAAATATCCCAGGAATAAAATCCGCATAGGGTATAAAGACCAGCAAATACGCAAGCTATACTCAGTGATCCGGTTCAGTGGCGCTATTCGCGCAAATACTATTGATGAGGAGATGAACGTGTTGCGTGTTTCAAATGTACAGATTGATAGCACAAGAAATAAGACATTCAAATTGCGGAACAATTTGCACATTGCACAAGAACGAATGTGCAGTGGATCTTGACAGTATACAAACGCACCAAAGCGAGGCTGATTAACTAACAGAGACTGAGTCGAGGAGAAATGAGTTACGTTAGAATGTTAACTCAATAGACCTTTCCCCTTATGAGTGAAATTTTGATCTAGACAAGTCGGGACAAAAACTTCATCACAGCTTGAAAGAGCATCACAAAATTAGTAATATTCCGAAGTTTCGTTGCGAATTGTTGTAAAATGCGGATAATACAGCCTTGCGAAGTTTGCCGTTTTTCAGTCATTTTGCATTACAAATGGAAATTGATAATCAGATGATCAAAACGATTATCAATTTCCCATTTGTAATACAAAATGACTATACAAAATGACTGAAAAACGGCAAACTTCGCAAGGCTATATTATCCGCATTTTACAACATTTCGCCACGAAACTTCGGAATATTACTAAATTTGTGATGCTCTTTCAAGCTGTGATGAAATTTTTGTCCAGGCGTATCTAGATCAAAATTTCAATCATAAGGGGAAAGATCTATTAACGTACTAACAGAGACTGAGTCAAGGAGAAATGAGTTGCCGCCCAAACCCAGTGGCGCGGCTGCTCCCC